CGCCTGTTCGCGACAGCGTGACAGCGATGTCGACTATCCCGATCGCGCAGGCGATCGAGAGCGTGCGGCCCTTCGTGATGACTCTCCTCGGCGAGCACGCAAAGAGTTTCGAGAAATCTGGTGGCCAGCTCAAGTCGAAGTGCGACGAGCTCACCACCAAGCTCCTGGCGACGGGCCTCGCCTATAAGGAGCGCGTCACCCCCGAGCGCGTGATCCCAGACATGGCAAATCGGGATGGCCAGGGGGCCGACCCGTTCGACATGCAGGTGCTGCTGGAGCGGATCCTCACGACAGGGTGGTCTTATTCCAAGACTATCGATTCGACGGCTTTCGAGTTGCCCCCGAACAAGAAGCCCTCGATCGATTTTGCCGTGAATCTCGTGGAGGGCTCGGGCGGGGTGCTGCCGCCCGTCGACGTGAACAACGTGAGGTACACGTCCGTTGGAGGTACCCACACCGTGCTCGGCTTGGGCGCCGTCAACCACTCGTGCGAGTCGTTCCTCGACGAGCTCTGCGTCGACGGGCGGCTCAGCCGCGAAAAGGCGGTAGGAGGAGGAGGAGGAGGAGGGGGAGGAGGATGAGGAGGAGGAGGAGGAGGAAGAGGAGGAGGAGAAGGGGGGGAGGAGGAGAAGGAGGAGGAGGAGGAGGAGGAGGAGGAGGAGGAGGAGGAAGAGGAGGAGGAGGAGGAGGAGGGTGCACGACGACGATGACGATGATGATGGCGACAACGGTGATGACGATGATGATGACGATGATGACGATGACGATGGTGATGACGACGACGATGACGACGATGGCGATGACTACGATGACGACGATGGCGATGACGACGATGCCGATGATGATGGCGACGATGACGACGACGATTACGATGATGAAGGCGACGATGATGACAGCGACGACGACGATGGCGATACTGATGGCGACGATGGCGATGGCGGTGACGATGATGACGATGACGACGACGACGATGACGACGACGACGACGACGGCGACGCTGGCGATGACGATTGCGACGATGACGATGACGATGACAATGGCGATGATGGGGGTGACGATGACGATGACGATGACGATGATGATGGCGACGATGACGACGATGACGTTGACAACGATGAAGATGACGACGATGGCGACGACGACGGTGACGATGACGACGATGTCGATGACGACGATCGCGATGATGATGACGACAATGACGATAACGATGAAGAGGACGACGATGACGACGATAATGACGGTGATCACGGCGACAACGGCGATGGTGGTGAGGATGCGGATGGGGAGCGCGGGGAGAAGGGGGAGAAGGTGGAGAAGGATGAGGAGGATGGGTGATGAGGAGGGCGAGGAGGGGGACGAGGAGGATGGGGGAGGAGGAGGATGAGGAGGAGGAGGAGGTGGAGGGCGAGGAGGAGGGGAGGATGATAAGGAGGAGGATCAGGAGGATGGGCGTGGGGATGATGATGATGATGATGATGATGATGATGACGATGATGATGATCATGATGAAAAGGATGAGGATGAGGAGGAGGAGGAGGAGGAGGACGATGAGGAGGAGGAGGAGGAGGAGGAGGAGGAGGGGCGGGGGAGGATGTGGAGGCTCGGGAGGAGCGGGGGCGATGGGGTGAGGATGATGCATGGGGCGATGCGAGGGTGGAAGATGGGGCGGATGTGGAGGAGGAGGAGGAGGAGGAGGAGGAGGAGGAGGAGGAGGAGGCTGAGGAGGAGGAGGAGGAGGAGGAGGAGGAGGAGGAGGATGGGGGAGGTGGAGGATGAGGAGGATGATCAGGAGGGTTGATGGCGGGCGGAAGCGGAGGAGGGAGGGGGGGGGAGGAGGTGGCGGAGGAAACGCGTGCCGCAGGTTGTGGCAACGAACCCAGCCATCGCAGACGCGCTGGACAACGGCTTCTTCTGGGTCGTGATACGCCACGAAGTCCGCGAGGCGTTCCCTGACCTCGCGGACTGGATTCAGGACGCCCTGAACTCTGGCCACGGGACCGAGCGCCAGACCACGCAGGTCCAGGCGCTGCTGGCGATCCACTCCAAAGCCTACCAATACAAAAAGAAGACGGGCGAGTACCAGTGGGACTCGATCGTTCGGCAGATGCAGAGGTCAAAGCCCCACTTGTCAGGCAGCATGTCGGCCCTCTGCGATTTCGTCAGGAAGTGGAGCGGCGGAGAGAGCAGGCCCTACCTCATTGACGTGGAGGCCTGGAGCAAGACGCTCAAGAACCGCAGGTTGGTGAGTTCACAGACCCTGAAGTTCCTGGCCGACTTGGAGTACGCGAGTGGCCCAGAGTACCCCATTGCTTGTTTCAAGGCGTGCTTGGTGGCGCCCGACAACTTCGTCGAGAACAACGTCGCCCGCCTCCTCACCAACACCGACATCCAGACGGTGTTCGGTTCGAACGCAGCCAAGGTGGCCACGTTCGTGACCATGGACAGGGCGGCGAAGCGTTGGATGCACGAGCTGATGTCCGATCCTGCGGCGGGGATCAAG